GGCTCTTGCCAGAAAGTCTCTCAAGCACTGCCGTTTGTGCATTCCTTGGTGTGTTTGTGTGCATGGTTTGATGTGATTTATTGCTGGAGAAATAAGGCAGCCAAAGAGAGGAAAGCCTCGTGTATTTTCTCGAAAGGTCAGTATGTTTTGAAATATTAAGAACTCATTGTTAAGTTGTTTCAGATGTACATTAAGCTATTTCAGTTTAATGTAAAGTACTGGAGAAAGTTGGATTTGTTTTATCAAACAAGTTATGATAAATCTGCTCTTGGTTTTAATAGCAGTTCTTGTATGGCATTTCCACTTGAGATGAAAATAGTCTTAACTCTACTCATTCCCTTTGTTGCAAACTGTGTGTCTCAACTTTTTTTCATATACTTATGACCTTGATTTATTAAGGCCTTGAACCCCCTCCCATCCTCCCTCTTGGTATGAAGGAAAGTAACTTGACTTCACCTCTCATAATCAAGTCCAAGATGCCACATCATACTAATTTTGAAAGTTGCTGGGTGCAAACAATTAGCTTACACATGTGTTTGTAGTACGAAAGACATCTGATCCAAGGAGAATAAGAATTATTGTATTTTATACCAACACTATGGTTTTCTCAACTCTTTACTTCTTGTGGGGAAACTGCAACATCAGTGCAGAGAAACTCTAGTGATAATAGGAATACCACAAATCTTTGTGGTACAGTAGGAGATTATAATCTGTAAACAGTATTCATTCTGATTGCAAAGCATAGATTACTATCTGAATAATCTAAAATTTTGCAGTTGATACCTGATTATTGTAATAAGTGTGTCTCTTGGAAATACTTTTACTTGTCATGAGGATGAATGCAGACATTGTACATTAAAATGTAGTGAGGTGTTCATTATTTTATTTCATATTTTTTCTCGTCTTTATTTTGAAAATGAATTTGTGATAAGGAAAAGTCAAAACAACTTTTTATTTGTGTGCAATTTGGTATGTATTTTTGTGCTTTGTTTTATTGACTATTTTTTTCCTTTTCTCCTTAACCTTCCTCCTTGATTTCTTCTGATTCCTCGTATTCTACTTTTCTATTACTTTTTATGTGACTGCCTCATTTACATTCTTCTTTAAGGATGTGAGTGCATTAAGATCAAATTAACAGTATTGGTTTAGGCCTTAAATAGACTTTTATGGTTTGAGGAAGTGTCTTATCATAGAATATATTTTTTAAGAAGATGAGTAAGTGTGAAAAAGTAATGAGTAGTTCAGTGTTTCATTCCCTAGAGTAGGTACCATAATAAGATTAAATGATCTTATTGTTCCACCAGTTTTATTGCGGTCAGAGCATTTTAATGTTGGGTTTACATCTTAGAGTGAGAATATTTGAAAGTGGGATATATTTCCTATTCACAGTAGTGGTAAGGCAGGTAGGGCTAATGCTGCATATAATTCTTGTAATTTAAAATCATCATAAACATATCTAAATTGTTAGATAGATGTGGATCCAGTTAATTATCTACAGCTTTTTTCTTTTTGCGATATATTTAAAATATCTTTTTTAGGTATGCATGTGTTGAACATTAATGAAGTGATGTTGAAGGTGCATTATAGATCAGTACATTAAACATACATTTCAAAGCATCAAAGCACTTGATTCCTTTCTTGACTGTTACCTGTCTCTCATTATCATGTCTCTGAGTTTTGGCATCTTGTTGCTAATGGCTCAGAAACAGCCTTGAGTCTCTTGCTGCCTTCAGTACACTCGCATATCATTAGAAGTTTGTTGAGGAGATTTAGGTGCAGTCTATGCTGATTTGCATACAATTTCAATAGTGCCTCTTGTTTTGATGATTTGGGGAATGCTTCTTTATCATGTTTATCAATACATTAGTTTACAGTCATGGACTAATGCAAATACTCTCAAAAACTAAGGTACTTTTCCTTCATCTCCTTCACAGAGATTTACTTAATTAATAATAGAAGTCATGTACTTGATGCCGAGATAGCTTAACTGGTTTCAGGGAAAAATACACTTTTATTGTGCATCATAATAAAGGGTATGTTGTAAAGGATAATCCACCAAACATAAAAGTATGAATAAGTACAGTATTTTGATGTCTTTTCAAGAAAACAATCAGAACAGAGTTGGCATCAACATGTAGAGAATATATAGGCATATACTTTATATTTCCTATATTGACAATGAGGATTATTAAATACTGCCCATGTGAAAAAGAGAAAAGAGAACAAATGGAATCCCTGAAATTTATCGTAAGTACAGGAAAACCTTGTATTTAGAGCCTTAAACTGCATTTTCTTTCTTTCACTGTCCCAGAAGCCCAAAAAAAGGGATAAGAATACATACAAAGTGATTTTTAAATTTTCAAAAGCCAGTTTGCAGTAGGCATTTCAAATTCAGTGTTCATGAACATTCTTCTCTTTCCACCTCTGAAGTATGCTGCAAGTGCTTTATTTTTTTTCTACTAATCCTATTTTTTGCTTTGGCTGAATCAAGTAAGAACATTGTCATTGTTTTGATTTACCATTCACAACAAACAGTAGACTTAAAACCAAGGTTTATTAAGGTTTCTCAATATCCCCCAAAATGCAGTACTCAGGTTGTTAATTCACCTGACTGGCATACTTGGCCAGTCTGTTTAAGTTGTATTTCCTGGCTCTCTAGTTATTGATTCATAGTGATTCTGTGAATTAAGTGTAAGTACATCTTTTGTGTTTCATGCAGTATAACTTTATTTGGGTCATTATTGATTTCTTTTTTTATTTATGATCTTCATTATTTAGATCCTCTTACATAAGATATACAATCAAAAAAAAAAAAAATTATCCCTCCTCCCTTCAAGAATACACCAAGTAAATTAGCTGAATCATAAGAAAGAACAATTGCAGGGTACTCTATCTTGTAGCTGTTATTATTATTATTTTTTTTAATAAAAGAGTAATGCTCAGTATTTAAGAATCCAAATTTTTAATAAAAAAGCTTTTTTTATTAAGGTTTATTAACAGACCTTATGGCAGTGATTCTTTATAAATCAAATTGCTTTCTTCAAATTAAAAAGAGTTATTTTGTTTAAGTCAGTATATACTTATAAAATCCCAGTGAAAGTAATTGTAAAATTATATACAGTGAAATAGTTTTCTTTTTCTCAGAATGCTGACAAGTATATCCATAGCCCCTCAGCACGTCTTTTTTCCTCATTTGTTTAAAGATGTGATATCTATTTTTTCATTAGACTGTTGAAATGACTAATAACGTATTTCTTATGTTCCAAAACTGACTTGTGTAAATTCTGGAAATATTTGTTTACCTCAGGATGATTTTCAGAAAAAAAAAGTTAGGTTACACATTAGTCCCCCAAAAGTCATCTAACTGGACATTCCATTCCAGTCCAACATGTAAATATTATTCCTTTTGTCCTGTCTTCCAAAGAAAATGTTGCAAGATCTGTAATCTTACTTTTGTAATTATTGTTATTTTAGTTTGTTTATTCTTTGTTATTTCTCTTTCTTAGTAATCTGTTTTGTCTGTCTGTCCTGAAGGCTGTGATGTACTTATGTATGGTCATAGGAGTGGATATTTTCATTGATATATAATGATTTCTCATTCCTTCTCATCGTGGTAGAGATTACCTTGTTGATCCACATGATAGAGGGAATTTGGTATGTGCTAGAACAAATTGTATTGATGAACAAATTTCCAAAGTCATTATCTTTAAATTCTGATTTAAAGTTTGAAGGAATAGCTTAGGTTTCATTACAAATGCAGGAACGGTTGTATACAATCATAATTCCTCAGTTTATACATACAGCTCTTTGTATATTGTTTAGCTCTTCATTCATCTGGCCACTTCTAGAAACATTAAATTGCATATTTACTTTTTAATTCATAGCAACAGAAACCAGCTTTCTTTGTATGACTGGGCAGTGTGAAGGCTTTTGAGTCTTATTATTAGCAGGAAAATAGGGGTTTTCTTTTATAATCACATGCCAATAATCTCTGTCTAGTTGATATGCAGAGGGAGTGCAAATTAAGTTCAAATAAGAAATACAAAATTGATTTATATTTTTTCCTGTTCCCTAAATATTGCTCTGTAAATTAGAAACCAAAATCTTTGACCCCGGAAAACGTATGTAAATGAATGTAAAAATAATTTTAATACTAATTACTAATGAAAAGTGAATAAAATATTTAAAGTGTACAGTGTTGTCTAAGACTGCACAGTTGTTATAATAAAATAAATCTGTGTTTTAATCTTTTTTTTATTTTTTGGAATAGAATCCTTGACTGTCCCCATACAATGTGTAATAAATTCTTTAAGTAAGGTACCTATTTACAATAATACACAAAACTTGTACCAGTCCATCATTCACTCTATCACACATTACACCTCATGTGAAAAACTACAGCAACAACCAAAGATTAACATTTTTACAAAATATTTTTAAAAAATATGATACACATCAGAATAGGATAAAATAAATATAATCTGAGTACATTCAATACAAGTCCAATCAATATATTACAAATGAGTTTCAACTGTAACTTCTCAGTGAAGATTTGGCTGTAATGTCCTGTTCTCTCTATCTGTATTCTTGACAAAGTCCTTCAACAGTCTCATTATTTCATTGTCAAATTCTTGTGGCGTTTCCCGTACACCTGGAAGGAAGAAGAAAAAAATCTGGTGATTAACTGGTTCCAATGATTTTTAAATTCAATTGATACAATACTTTCATAACTTAATTTGCCAGAAATAAAAAATCCTGTGCTTAGAATACAAGAATCAAACAGCTCAAATGTATGATTCAAAATCATTGCATTCAATTACTGGAATTAAAGTAGTGCACAAAAATACACAACTGGTGAAAAAAATATAGAGTATATAGCACACTTATTCACTACTTTGTGTGTGGACAAATCTCTTACCGGTTGCCCAGTAATATATTTCCCAGTCATTGGAAGGCAGGTTAATCAGGCGATCATACATGGACAACTGTTCTTCATTCATAGTCTGTAAGTAACGATGGGCAAAAGTACTCAGTAGTAAACCATTTTCAAGCATTCCCCGTTTCCTCGACTGGTACTGGAGCCTGAAAAGAGATATAGAATTAATTAGTCAAAATTATAAATAAAAGTAAGAAAATTATTCTATGGTTAATGGTTAATGGTTGAAACAAATATATGTGCTAAACATCTAAGGTCATAAAGCACTATGGTAGAGGTTTGTGGTGAAAAGGGTAAATGAGTTAACGATAAGTAAAAAGTGTTAAATGTCAAAGGTTATAGGGTTATAGGTTTATAGTGTTATGAGTGTATCTGTTCTTGGGGAAGCTATAGTAACATTGCTTTAACGAAAACCTGGTAAAAGAGCTGTTAAGAAATAATTAACAGGTAATACAGGTGGAGATGGCTGTTAGAGAAGAAGCAGAAAAAGAGTGGGGAGTGAGATGAGTGGACTGGCAAAGGGGTTGAAGTATCCGGAAGAGCATAAGTAGGGGAGGAATTCTGCAGGAAGACACTATTGCGACAGAAGGGATTTATGTGAGTATTCAGGTGGGAGAGGTAAGGATAATGGAGAACGAAAAGGGAATGGTGTATATGGAGAAAGAGAGGATGGGGTTTGTTGGGAAAGACTAGGAGAAACATATGGGGTATAGGGGGAAGGATATCGGCAAATACTTTGAATGTAGAGGGACTAAGAATAGTGAGATTGGAGGATGGACAAGAGAGGGTGGAACATTTTCAAGGAATGTCCAGGAAATTTTGGATGTCTTAAAGAGTTTCTGGGGGGGATTTGGATAGGGAGGTCTGAGAAAAAAAAGGATCTCTTCCTCTTTATAATCATCTCTATTCAAAATCATCACAGTCTTTCCATAAGTGAGAAAAAAGAAAAACTTAAAATGAATTGATATTTCAGGTCCATCATCTCTTAGCTGACAACTTGGTTTTTTTCAGATATTTTTTTTTAACCTTGTACTAAGATAAATTTCTAGATCTAGAACCTTTAACTATGCTAGTTTGAGCATACAGTTTTTGTTTTGGCATCAGCCTTCCTTAGAAATTCTGAGCAAAAGACCAACACACAGGTTCTTGCTCAGTGCTGTGCTAGGCAGGGATTCTCATCTCGGTTCCCCTCACAGACAAGGAAGTATTCCTACTTTGTAAGGGGATCCCCAGAGTGATATGGCTAGAGTGACCAACTCTTTAGAAATGACTCAGTATCAAGGAGGTAAATTTGATTATATAGCTATAGAAAATCAATACGAAGTACCAAGCAATGCTAAAGTCATTGTCAAGACTTCCTGATTATATAAAACCTGTAAAAGAATTTTTCTAACTCATCTACTCCATCAGATCAAAGACAAGGGCCGTCCATCTGTCTTTGGCTTCCAAAAAGGTAAAGGAACACAAATGTGTTTGGCACAATACTTACATAGATTTCAAGGGAGCCTTCAGCAGAGCCTCCCTAAATGCAATCCTCCAATAATTAACTCTTAAAAGTTGAGAGCAAGTTATTGCTATGGATAAATTGTCTCTCTTAAGGACAGCAAAAGTATGGTACCAAAGCATCTACAGTGCTTGTGGTGAAACTAGAATTTGGCAAACTGCCAATATATACTTCAATATTTACTCTCTTTGCAAATTCAGCAGTGAGTAAAGAAACCGATGCAGCCTCATAATCAACCAAATGAAGACCAAAAATATTTTTATACTTCATAAACTGCCATACATTCCTTGGTAGGCTTTCAGTATCTTAGTTTTATGGCGATTGTTTCCCTTCTCATGTCATGTAATTCGCACTTCACCTAGAAAATTGTTCAAAACATTTAAAGTACATTACTTGGAGCATTATAGACAATTACAACATAAAAGCAATAGACATATAGGTACCACCCTTGGAGTCATAAGGCTAATGTATATTTCCCTTGTTAGGCCCGTGATCGATTATAAAACCATGATTCTCAAATCTCTTGAAGTCTTACAGAACAAGGCCTTGAGAATTGTACTTGGCTACCAAGTGACTGTATGTGCTGTGTGGTAGCGTTCTCATCTAGCAATCTTGCTGACCCACATTCAAATCCACTCTCAAATCCTCACTTCCAATGGATAGTAAACCCGTCCATTCCTTGCACACGGGGTATTTAGAAGCAAACTATGCAGACAGCCTTTTTATATAACAATTAAGAAGCTTAAGTTCTTGTCCCAAGGAAAAAGCTAGATTTCCCCTTGATTCACAGTCAAAAACAAAGGCAGCATCAGACTCTGGCAGCTTCTATCCAAACCACAAATTGCCCCTTTTTTCTTATCAAACAAGAATAAATATAGAGTTAGGCATGTCTGGTCTTGATACTCTAACAATCTAACTCAGAATGGATAGCCAAAACTGCCCAAATTAATTTTAGCTTCAATGAGTATAACAATGATGCTATCAACATGACAGAATCAACACTTAATACATCTTTTTATGTAAACTAAAAGCTTGTTACTTGAAATATAGTTGCAATTCTGCATCCACCTCATGGTACTTCTCTTGCAATCTCCCATGATGCCTCTACAAACCCTCCTAGAGTAGCAGAGATTGGTGTACAAATTCCTGACACTGATCTTAAAGAAAGTATGTGAATTTGGTACATTCTGTAGGTTCACTGCATCTACTCAAGAAAGCTTGGTAGCTACAGGTATTCTTCACAAAAAAATGTTATCAATTGTTTCCCACATAATGAGAGGCAGTATGAACCAAAAAAAAAAAAAAAAAAATGGATATGGTACCATTTGACATTGTGAAAGAACTGCTAAACACACCTCACAACCTAAAGTCCATGGTCGACTGCCGAGAGCAGGTTACACTGACCAGGATGCTCATAAAAAATCAGTGCACTAGAAAGTATGAACAGGATGTATTTTCAGAGGCAAAACTAATTTTGCATCACCACTGCAAAACATTCACACCACTCCTAAACATTTAATGTGTCCATGTCACTCAATTTTACCCATTATTTTAATACATGAAAATACATCCTATCACTCCAATAGTACTGTCTTGAGACCAGCACTTATTGAATACATTGGTCTAATTTTATTTTAGAGACTGGTCTTGTCTTTGATATGATTAATGATATATATATTTAAAAAAATACTAACCAGAAGACTTAATGTAGCTAAGAACAAAGGCACAACCTTCCAGGTATGTACAACTAATGTTTCACTGATAGACCTTTACATAACTAGAAGTGCAACTAGTTTGGATAATACTTTGGTATCTTATCCTGGCTACTTGTTGAGGCTGGAAACTGCTCTCCAAGTATATTTGTTAAATCAAATAAATGTCAGCCAATTTCAACAAAGTCTGCTGTTGGCAAATTACAAATTCAATCAAATAATTTCAATTCATCTTGGCCACTTTTTCAATAAATTACAGTCTGTTTAAGTTGGATAAAAAACCATGGTCCCTTTAATAAGCACTACAGACAAACAACACATAATTGAACAGCACACCATCCCTTAACCCATTGGATCAGAGTGCCTTACAGTGTGCGTGAGGAACAAATCCAGGCTTCTTTGAATGGGGACTCTCCCAGGTGTGTGGCTTGTAACTCCAATATATGCAAACACTCACAGGCGATATCAAGCCTCCTTGCCTCTTCTTTGCAATGCCATCATCAACCCTCTTTCTGTAGTTACATTTTTGCTGTCTTGACATTTTCCAAGGTCTATATTTGTCATTTGTTACAACTTATCAAGATAGCATATTATTCAGTTTTCCATAACACATCTTACATCACTGGTTACTATGGCCAGGAATAGGCTCCTATTAGTGAATGCAATGTCCTCTCTGATGTTGGCCCTCTTGCAGTTCCACAGACATGATTAATGGTTGATAAACTCCATCCTCTTGGACCTTTGGGAATCCTGCAAGAGCTCATGAATGAGCCCCTCCTGAAGACAGATTAATTCTACTGCACTAGTACTAAATATCCCAACTATACAGCCTACCTAGCTTTCTTGAGGTGGATGGGTTCTCCAACCTTCTCCTCATATGGTGGAATTGTTGGCTCCTGGATGTGAGTTGGCTCATGAAGCTCCCCATCGCCACTGCTGTAATAACGGCCCACCTGAGAGAGATATTGTGAGAATGTGAGAATTTCAGAAGAGGAAAGGTTTAAGGAAGAGAAGGAAGGATATGAGAGAGGGGAAAGGAGAGGGTAGGTGTAGGTGTATATGTAGGAGTAGGAGTAGGAGTGGCAGGGGGAGGGACAGGGAAAAGGAGAGGGGAAGATGAGAGGATGAGTGAGTGGAAGGAGAGAGAGGGAGAGAGAGAGAGAGAGATGTGTGTGTGTGTGTGTGTGTGTGTGTGTGTGTGTGTGTGTGTGTGTGTGTGTATGTGTGTGTGTGTGTGGTGTGTGTGTGTGTGTGTGTGTGTGTGTGTGTGTGTGTGTGTGTGTGTGTGTGTGTGTGTGTGTGTGTGTGTGTGTGTGTGTGTGTGTGTGTGTGTGTGTGTGTGTGTGTGTGTGTGTGTGTGTGCGTGTGTGTGCGTGTGTGTGTGCGTGTGTGTGTGTGTGCGTGTGTGTGTGGTGTGCGTGTGTGCGTGGGCGTGTGTGTGGGCGTGTGTGCGTAGGGCGTGGGCGTGTGTGTGTGGGCGTGTGTGTGGGCGTGTGTGTGTGGGCGTGTGTGTGGGCTGTGTGTGTGGGCGTGGCGTGTGTGTGGGCGTGTGTGGGCGTTGTGTGCGTGTGTGTGCGTGTTTGTGTGTGTGTGTTTGTGTGTGTGGGCCTGTGTGTGTTTGTGTGTGTGCAAGAGAGTTTGTTTCCTTAACTAGTCATTTGCAGTGGAAAACCTTAGATTCACACATATTACACCCTAAATAATTGAAACAGGAAAAGGTAGACTTCCAGTTGTACTAAGCCTAAATGTAACTTACAAGGCAAATTTTGCCCATATTGGAAAGAAAGAACAAAAATAAGGCACTTTTCCATCCATACCAAAATCATCACAATCCATTTAGTGAACTAT